CAGTCGCCTCAGAAGATAGAGCCTACTCTTCATATTAGCTAATATGAAATAAGATACTTTTATATATCAAATTATATTAATAAAGTCATTGCCTCTATAACAGTATAAATTGAGCCTTGTGTTTGTGCTTAATAAACTGAAATCTGGCTCGTTGTTTATCTGATCCAGAACTTCTTATGTGAGCACTCACCAACCCAGAAAAGAGGTCTTGAGAACTTTATTGAATTCTGAAAGAAATACAAACCTTCACCATTACAATTATAGCACACAGTTATTTCAACGATTAGCAGTGGCCTCTGATGATATAAAAGCTCTGCAGCATTCGCTGTAATTAATAGCATCACCACGTGGCAGGAAAGCTTATGATCAATGAAAGCTGTAATCACCAGTATCACTGTAACAGCCTGAGTCAATAGACTCAAGCTCAGGAAAATTACACATGTGATCGAGAGTCTGAAGATGTAGGATATTGAACATCTCTGTTGTATGTTTGCAGCTTTCAGTGGTTTCATTGCAGTGTTCTGTTTATACATTGGTGAAAGACCCTTTGGAGTGTTTATGTTATCTATAGAATAAACTGAAGGTTAAATATCATATCACATGATGAACATGATCATATAGGTATTAATAACTATTGAAGAAGATGAATGAAGTGTATTTGTTGTGTCACACTGCCCTCTTTAGGATGTACAGTATGTATGGTGGAAGTGACAGAAGGTGGAAAAAAGAAGAGAGCAACATCACAGATGACACCACAGAGGGGCAGTATCTACCTGCTGTTAAATATTAAGAGTCTATTTCTCATTGAGTTAATATAATGCTTTCAGCAAAATGTATGTTATTTGATGTTTTGGTGCAAAAACATTTGTCTTTCTCCTGTCTTTCTTTACCCTGTAGACCCAGAAATAATATGATCTACACAAAACTGTGCATGACTCTATTGTAAATGCAATGTACACATCGGGTTAGTTTGTATAGAGGCATCTTCATGTTGTCTCTCATCTGTAAGAACGACCAATTTTATTTTACCTGGAAATACATATATTAGTTATCACTTTGAACCAAGACTAAATGTGACACTTAAACAAATAAAGTCATATACCATATAATAGTAGGTTAAAGGCCTAAGAATGAATGGTAAATGGACTGTACTTGTAGAACGCCTTTCTAGTTTTCTGACCATAAACTCAAGATTAGTAATAAAAGAGAATGAGACACTTCCAACATTTAACACTTATCAGCAGCTTAAAGCACAATAAAGGCACACAGCATGGCTGAGTTTAAAGAAAGAATGACGTGATCAATGGCAGTTACACTTGTGGAGTGAAAATGGTTTAGAGGACTGAGGTACAAACTTCTGTAGTCAGATTCCTGATGGATGTATAATTAATTGGTGGAAACTGTGCAACTGTATCGACCAGGTGTCCCTACATAATTAGAAAGCTTATTTTAAGAAGGAATTGAAAATGAAGTATAAATGAAGCCATTTTTATTAATGAGGCCCTTAGGCTGTTAGATTGCAGTGCTACATGGAGAATACAGATGAATCAGAATTATCTATCCCTCCGTCTACTGTCTATTTCTTCTCATCCCTATTCAGGGTCATGTTCCAGATTGTGAACTATATGTATGTGTATCTTATGTTACACACAATACAGATTGTAATCAAATGTACCGAAAGACCAATTTTCTAACATATCAGAAAATGATCAGAAAAATGTCATGAAAGTTTCTAAAAAATCTGGAATTTCTTTCTTGATTGTATTTATACATTGTGTTGCTCAGTCATGTTAGCTTTTGTTCATTTTCACTTTATATGAATGTGTACCTTTTTTTAAGACTAAATGTGCCATATTGTGTCTGCATGACGAGCTGCAGCATGCAACAGAGAAAAAGTTATACTGAATTGGTTTAAAATGGAATAGAATTAATTGGCCAACAGAACTTTCAAAAAGCGCTTTTGCTTTTGCTGCTTATAGTATTCATGTATTCATTGCAGGGTTTACATTCAGTCCTTGGTACCATAGCAAATTAAATTATGACCAAGTAATATTTTCGAAGGGAGTTTTTCAGCATCATTAGGAATCCATCAGATGACCTGTGTTGTATTTTCTTGATAGCATCCTGCACATGCTGTTAAAAACAGGATGGAACAGGTAAACAGGATGTATTTACCGTTAACCTGCTATATTGTTATACAGCTCTCCATCATATGAAGTGGTGAAAAATCACGACTGTGAACATGGGTATCATAGAACATTGTCTGCTGATCAGGGGCAACTTCCTTCCTTAAATTTGATTTTTAGATTATTTTTCTTAACTATATATGTTTTTAAGGTCTCCCTGACGGCACCAATTGGATAGTCTCATTTGGAGAGGAGCTGCAGCTTCACTGTATATTTGCAAAGGACACATCTTTATTGGACATGGCCTTTGCTAGATGATGCCCCTGAACTGCGATGAAGCCACTGACATTTTCAAAAAACCTGCATTTATTACATCAGATGTACATGTTGATCTGCATCTTGTGTCCCCCTGCGAGACTCCATTCCTCCACATGATGCCAGTGTTGCGCTGCTGTACACTTCACTCTGTTCAGTCTGCTTCCTCTCCACACCCTCTAACAACCAGCATAGACTTACACAAGTGATACAAGTCAACTAATGTAAGAGATCTGGATAGAATTATTGATGAAAGTATCTGCATTAGTAACACAAAGCTAAAGAGCATCAAGCAGTTTACAGATAAAACCATCATTTGGTCCATCACTGAAAATGGATATGAATGACTTTCTTTCCACCTTTATGAATAAGCCACGTGTGTACACTTCTGTGTCCATTTCCACGGTGCTGATGTATGTGACTGTGTTCATATTGTGGATGAGTCTGGTAGCTCTTCCATCTTTCAGCCCGTCAGTCCATCTCCCCCCATGCTGATGCATTATTGGTCCACTCTGCAGGGCCCAGGAAGCACTGGGAGATAAGAAAAAAGGCCAGGCTCTGCGATCCCTCAGATAGCACCTAATCACATTCATTACATCAATTAGGGCAGGCCAACACAACACCGGGCCGAGAGTCAAACCTCCATCTCATGCTGATCGATGCTGAACACAGAGCACATCCTCTAGTCTTCAACCTCCACCTTGTAGACCACCATACAGTACTTACACTCACCTGCCAAACTGGTCCTCCACTGGGAGCTCACCACTGGTATGGTGTTTATAACCAGTTGCTGTTAGGAGGATTCATTCTAAATGAGTTTTTGAAAGGTGGTACCAATATTTGTTGGACTGAGGATGCCAATTGCCAACTTCTGAGTGAATCCCCCCCAAAAAACAAGAATTCAAATGGTTAGATGCTATTCTGTTTTGTGTTGAAACATGCATGGAACTACAACCCATGTATGTGATGATTTGCAGTTGAAAATATGTCTAGATATGTAGTTTGAAACCAGGCTAAATGATGTGAAAGTGTACACATGTACACATGTGGGTCATATATTACTTTATTTTTAATACGTGACTAAAGTTCAGTGAATAATCTGTTAAAATATAGTAACGGAAACAGCAAATATGTATGTGTATAATAATATATAGATGTCTCAAAACACATTTGAGACATTTTATCTTAATCTAGTAGGTGAATGCTTCCCATGGTCAGACAATTTAGAATTGATCAATAATACAATGAAAATGTAATACAAAAAGTTGAAGCATATCTATAAAATCACATACAGTCTATAAACACAATCCCGGTATATTGGGAAACGAATCTATTCAACAGTAGACCTGTGGCATACTTTAAATGGTAAGGATATTAAGTGGTTTAAAGCAGGAATTGAATGCACATCCTGAAATCCCCTGTGTGTAACTCAATCCATATAATGATTACCAAAGTAGAATCTTTAAGAAGGCAAAATTTGGTATCATATTTTAAGTCCATGCAGCAGTTAAGCCCTGCACAGTGGTTCTTGAATGATAAATATAAAATTATAATCTGAGCTGGTTGGTCATTAGATGTAATTTCAACAGAAGCTTCGCCACAACGACGAACCACAGAGCTGCTTTTTCTTTCTGCTGATAGATAACAGACGCTATGCAAGGCATTCACACTCAGTGGTTGACATAGAGAACCCCGACTCCAGGTAGAAAATAAAGAGAAAAAGGACGATTTCTCCACATCTGTGAGTTTTACCGGTTCAATAATCTTCACTGTGGAATCCTCTTTAGAAGAACCAACCTGAAACCAAAATCCTGAAAATTTTTCATTTGCTCCTTCTACTTTGAACTAAAGCTCCCTCTGTCGAGTCCTGATGAAATTAAAGTTGCACTTTTAAACAATGTACAATGTTATAATAAAATGTTGATAGTAAAACATTGCTTTATTAACAGTAACAGCTGAGATCTGGATCACTGTTAGGACCAGTGTGTAGGATTTAGTGGCATCTAGCAGTGAAGTTGCAAATTGCAACCAACTAAATACCACTCAGCTTTTAAGTGAGTAGGAGAAACTAGAGTGGCCTTGAGACTCGTAAATAATGCGAAAGACCCTATGTAGAGCCAGTGTTTGGTGTGTTCTGAGCTACTGTAGAAACATTGCAGTTAAACATGCTGGACCCCATAGAATAGCTCTTTTTGTGGTACCAAAAACACAATTTCACAAGATTCCTATTTTCAGGTGATTACACACTAATGAAATCATACCTTTGAATATTATATTTCATTTCTGCCAAGAGATCCTCCTGAATGTTACACACTGGACCTTTAAGTTCTTTTTCAAGTGCTTAGGCATGCTACATATAATAAA